ACTGGACATGATAAAGGTGTCACAACTCTTCTCTGAAGACTGATTCCAGAGCCTTTAAAAATATACTTACTCTTACTGAAGACTAAGAAAGTCATTTTTCATCTGGGGATGTAGCTCAGTGGCAGAGCACTTGCCTAGAGGTGCAGGGGTCTGGGCTCAACCCCAGCACTGGTGGGGGTGGGGTGAGAGAAGGTGAAGAAGAAAAAATACATTCAAGTTTCATAAAATCTGATATATTCATAACAGGGAACAGATTCTGTGGTCTGAGTCTGCTACGTCTGAGGTGGGATTTGATGAGTGCTGCAGAGTGCCAGGCTTCTTTCTGCAGCTGCAGAGTGCCAGGCTTCTTTCTGCCTCTCACTTGCTCTGGGGGGGCAGAACTGATTTCCATAATGGGTCCTTTAGGCCACGGCCTCCCAAGCCTTGCTGCAGCAGAATCGCTTTCAGAATTAAAAATATAGATTTCTGGGTCCCCCGGGCACCTGAATCTTTGGACTAGAGACCAGGAGTGATTGCAACCACTCGTTTTTCCTTCCCGCCTTCCCACTACTGCATTTCTGGCCTGTCTGATGACCTGCAGGTCAAGGGAACCTGACACTGAGGTCTTTGGCAATCCCAGGTGCGCGATTATCTGTGACTTTTGCTTACTGGAATATCCAGGCCTCCTTGCAGATTTAGGAGTAAACAAGGTTTTGTAGATAAATGGAACCAAAGCTTTTCCTCACTTTTGCAAGGTAAGATACAAATTTAAAATAATAGCAAGTTTAGGGCCACAGAAATGTAAATACAAAGACCTGAATTCCCTGAAACATGGTAATAGCAGAGGCCACCCCGGCTTGGTGGCTGGCCTTGCCTGGCTGGACAGCGAAGGGCTGGCGATGAGCCGCACTGCAGTGCTGAGGCTGAGCGGTGGTGTGGGGTGCTGCCAGGCTCCCTGGCTGCTCTGGAGGCTGCTCTGAGGCTGAGATAAGGAAACCAAGGGATCCTTTTTGGAGCACAGCAGGTGTGTAGGTGAGTGGCCTCCTGTTGAGAAAAGAATCTTCAGGACTAGTCAGAAGCTCAGGAAGGGTGGGTGGTTTTTGTTGTGATTTTTCATGGTTTTGATTTTGGTTTTTTCAGAAATTAAAAGGTACACATTCAAAGAAATAGAGGGCAGGGCCTTAGAGAGAAAGGGAAAATTATTTCCTGGAACCAGGAACATTTATGTTTCCCCTGAGGGGTGAAAAGCCAGGGGAAATTGTTGACCCCAGCCCTCAAGGGCACTACCCTCTCCGTAGGAATGGGCCCAGTGGTACTTATTTTCTAACAGGTAATTTAAACATTCGTTGGATTCTTCTTAATCTCTTTCTTTCTTTTAGCATCAAGATTCTGCTCTTTACTTTCTCAATTAAGCCAATTTATGGATTTTAATAGTCCTAAAAAATGCAGGTGTAATGGATTTTTTTTAAAAGCCTAAATTTAAACCCTGATAAAGACCATCTTGAATCACTTTGAAGCCCAAAAGTTGCAGTTTTCTTAAAAGTACAATTCTTAGCCATGATTTCTGGGTTGGTTGGTTTGTTTGCTTTTTGGCCCCTTTTTGGGTATCTTTCGCTTTTCTGCTGCACCTCAGCCCGGGGTTGCATTCCCCTGCGCTCCGACCCCAGCCCACAGAGTCCAGCAGGAGCAGCTCCCGAGGCCACACCCTCTTCCGAGGGCGGGCAGCGGTGGGGCGGGGGGCTCTGACTGTCTGCCCGCCAAGGCTGCCCTCTGCCTTCCTCTCCTGGGACCTGGGACGCCGTGGGTCTGCCGTTCAGACCCTCCCACTGGGAGAGCTTCTGCTGCCCCATCCTGGGGACTCAACAGGACGCAGCAACCCGCTGTCCCTGCTGGGGACACTAGTTACACAACACTGTGTGCCCCAGCTGCGCCCCAGCCCGCCAGCTTTGTGCCTGGACTCCTGGCACCCCTGCTTTGCACCCACGCCCCATCCTTCACCCGCTGGCTGTGTCCCGTCTTGCACCCTCAGTCCCTCAAGCAGCGGTCCTCTTCTGCACACTGGACTCACTGGGTGCCAGTTTAATCCCGCGGACCTCTGGGCTCCGGTCTGGTGCTAGAAAGGAACACCCACCCCTGTTTTAAATGCACTTCCTCTCACGCCCAATTGGGTTAGATGTGTAATTCTGGGGAGGGCAGGGCAGGCCCACAGACCTATGGGCTTCTGCATCCGTGCGGAGATAGGAAGCTGACAAGGAGAAACGTAACTTCTTTCTGCATCCTGACTGCCATGGATTGAGCAGGCCCTCTCCAGGCCTTTTCTTGGAGCCAGCCCATCACAGACAAACCCTCTGAAACCGTGAACCAAAATGTCTCGGTTAAACTGTGGGTGGGTGTGTAAGGGTGATCAGAGTCCATGGCGAGGCTTGCATTTAAAGGTAAAAAGACATACTGCCATTGGTCTTTGTCCGTCTGCTTCCTCTCTTTGAGCACACCCTCCCCATCATTCTCGCCAGCAGATCTGAGACTGTTGGGGCTATGTCTCCATGTGGGGTGCAGATGTTCAGTGCCATCCCGTGGGCAGACACGTGTGAAAGCATCACAGGGCGCTCTTTTCCACCTGGTCTACGGATCTGGCACTGTACAATTTCCGGCTTTCCCCAAAAGTTCAACCATCATGAAAAAGAAACACCTTGAACCGATTCAGGACAGGGAGGCAGTTACAACACTGCAATGGAGGACACCAGTGAAAGAGAACTGCCAGAACTGCTTCGGAGTGTGCCAGAAAGACGCGATGAGTGTGTTTGAAGCATGTGTGTATGTGTGTGTACATGCACGCTTTGAGGAATTTAAATAGCAGTGTGTCTTTTACTGTAATAAATTTTTTAAAAGTCTAAACATTCACCTTATTTTTTAATCATATCTTACATTCTGTCCCCCACAGGGTAACTAACATCATGGGGGAGGGGTGAGAAAGACGGGATTGGCTGATTGGCTGCGTCAACTGAGAAGTTAGAAGTTTAAGTCAGGTCAGCAGCTCTACAGCCTAAGATGCAGAGGGTCCCTCCTGGGGCAGCGTTAGGGCACAGACGACCCACTGTGGGGGCGACTCATCTCCTGGACTACAGCGTGAAGGGAGATGAGCGAGCAGGGTTTGCTTCCGCTCTCAGAGGAGCTCCAGTCTTCACCTTCAGCTTGGGTGTCGTCGTCTCCTCCTCCTCAGATCCTCTCGTCTTCTGGTGTAGATGCTTCAGCCTTCCCTTGCAGACCTACTGGCCTCCTAATAGGGACTTGAGGAGGACCCTGCAGTAAGCTGCAGACCTTCGACTGAAAAGTTCTCTCTGTGGTGTCAGATGCCCTCTGGATACTTCCTCAACCCAACTCCGTGGCTGGCCATCATGAGCCGCCAACCTTGTGACTTCTTACACGTGATGCTATATGTTTCTCTAGTAAAACACCGACTGATACAAATTGGTTCCTTTCAGGTGTTTGTAGAATTCAATAATGAAGTCCTCAACTTTTCTTGGATGGCAGGCTTTTTAATTATTGATATAATCTCCTTACTCATTTTTGGTCCATCCATATTTTCTGCTGCTTCATTAACTTTAGTCTTGGTACCTGTGTCCAGGAATTGGTCCATTTCTTCTAGTTTATCTGATTAATCAGTGTATAATTATTCACAATACTCTTACAGTCTTTTGTATTTCTGTGATTCAACATTCTGTTATAACGTCTCTGCTTTCACTTTTGAGTCTTCTGTTTTTCTTTATTGTAGTTAAAGCCTCCCTCTTGTTATTGATCTTGTCTATGGCTTTTCAAGAGGTCTCCCCCTTGCGACCATTTTCCTCCTGTTCCCTGCTCTGCTGTGATGCAGCATGGGGGCTCTCGCTGGAGGAGCTGGTACCATGCTCTTAGGCCTCCAGAACCAATGCCAAAGGATCCTCTTTTGTTTATAAAGTACCCCACCTCTGTGTTTTTATAGCAACACAAAACAGGCCAAGACAGCACACTTAAACTATTACCAGACTCTAGCACACCCGCCCTGCTCCACCCACCCAACACACACGCATCTTTCTTCTCCCTACACCACTGGGGACTAACGTGCTGGCTGACACACAGGAGGGCTCAGTAAATGACCCAAACTTTAACATCAGTGCTATTAGACTCCAGCCTCACGGCTGTGCCTGTCTTCCCTGTGGACATCTGGTGCTGTTACCACGTTTGTTGACTGTGTTTGTGTCTTAAACTAATCATCTAAGCCACTCAGGAGGGCAGCAAACCATAAGGGATGGCAGAGCCCCAGGACTGCAGACCCCTGCACAGCCCAAGTGTCTTTTCCAGGTCACGCGTGCCATGGGCTTGTTCCTTTGGAACCATTCCCTGTAGTCAGGCGGATGACAGCTCCTGCAGACTTCCCTTCTGGAAGGATTCTGAGCCCGTTCATTCCTGTGCATCTGAATTCCCAGGCGGGCTCAGCAGGTCCCTAGTGAACAGGCTGGCATGACACCAGGCGCTGTCAGCATTCCAAGCCACTTTCTCCCAGGCCACAGCTCAGTGCGGCTCACCTGGCTGTGCGATTCCCCTTAGGCTTCTGCTTCCTCTCGCCCCGGGGGCTGGTGAATAAATCAAGTGCTTCCTGGAGGCTGAGAAAGTGGGTTCTGTTTAAGGATAAGAGCATCATTTAGACAAATGAAGGACGCAGCAGAGTCATTTGGCCTGGCCTGAGAAAAACCATTTCTAAACAAGTCATCACTATCTGAATGTTGTGGAATCTCTTTTCCACCACAAGGACAAGGATGGGATTGTGCAGCTCCTAAATAAATAAACGAGCTCAGAAGTGAGCATTAAGAGGCTTTGCCAACAGAGTATGCTTGAAATGTACTACCAAGAAATAAATGTTGCCTCTGTTTCCGTGTTGAGTGGGAGACTTTCATAAACCCTTAAGGGAAGGAAATAAACACAGAAGTTAAAAGATACAACAAATATGAAAAAACCATGTGCATATATTTCTAGTAATCAGAAAGTCGATCTGCTCATAGTTTAATTTCTAACTGGTGTGTCATAATATCGATTCAACTTTTATTAAAATATTATCCTGGAGAAAATAAGCAATTTGCAAATAATTAGTAAACAGAAGAGATAGAGTGTGAAGGCCCCCATGCCCAGCTTGCTGGGTGCTTCCGGAGTCACACAGCAGACGGTCAGTCCAAAAGACTTAGGGTAAGAAGACTGCCTTGCTTATGTGATTTAAAAACCCGGAGGCTGGAAAAGATCCAGGGCGCAGGGTCACGCCGAAGCTCCGCCTTCTGGTGGGCACTCTGCTCTGTACCCTCAGCCCAGCTTCTTCTCAAGTCTGTTGCTCCCAGTTCTCCATCTCACCCCTCAGTCCCTCGGAGGACTGGATGGAATGTACACGTCCAGTCTTGTGAAAGTGACCACGTGCGCTCAGAGGCAGAGGCCAGTCCAGATCCCTGCTCTGCCTGAGAGCTGCGTGTTGTAAACACCAAGTTCCTCATCCGGAGAGTGGGACTGATCATCACAGTCTAGGATCCTTGTGAGAACAGAGAGGGTGAGGTGTAGGCTGGCACAGAGCAGGCACTTTGTAAATTCTGAGGGCTCATCCTGGATTTATTGGACATGCACTCTGTATTAGGCACTGTCCTAGTTTAAGGAGACAAGAGTTGGGGCTACAGGCCAGGAGCAAGGCTGTTAGGACACAGGCTACAGGAATCTTAGGCCTGACGTCCTGCAAGAATAGGGCACTGTTGGCGTCTCCTAGACAGCACAGGGAGGTGAACGATTGAATGTAACCTGGCCTCCAACCTTCTCAGAGTCTTTAGGTTTCTTACACAAAGGACAGATTTGGTCTGGTGTTTAATTTCTATTTAAACCAAACTCGCACAACACGAGGGCAAATGCAGCCACCTCCCTTGAGTATGCACAGTATTCAGGAAGACCAAAGCAAAGGAAGTTGTTTTCCTGGATTTTTACTTATGGGCAAGTGCTCCACTGTCCTTAGGAATGCTCGGTACTTCTAGACATCAAAGATTGGAAAGGATGAAGAGCTTACTTTGGGAAGACAAAAAGCAATAAAAATCTATTTGAAGTAATCACAAAGTTAAAATATTCTTTTTCCTACTGCTTATCATTTTTCCTGAGTTCTGCTCACTTTTGGTTAAAAAAGCCAACGAGAAGCTACAGCCTGAAGTATTCTCTTTCTAGATTAATTTGTTTAACCATCAAGCGACCCCTCTCTGGCTAGCCACTGTGCCTGGCAACACTGGGGCCTTATATAAGCCTGAGTTCACACCTCTGAGAAGCTCTGAATGGCGGGTTGATAACAGTAGTACCAAGTGGTGGTGTTGTGGGTTCCAACCTCCGCCCTCTCAAAGGCTCAGCTCACTCACGGTGATGGGTGCAGACGCTTTGTAAGATGTCAGATTTACACCTGGGAGTTAACCTCCAGCAGCTGGTACTCTCCACCAACCTATGCTTCATGAGAGAAAATCTGAGATGTGGGGAAGGGGACTGATTTATTCTGCCTGTGCCCAAGAGACCACAGCCCTGGGCTCCCTTCTTGCAGAACACTGCTGACCCACAAGGAGCTAAGGGCCGGGCTCTATCTGACCTAAGTCACACGACATCAGTCAGTATAAAATAGCCTGAGAGACATTAAGCTGCAAAGGAAAGACTTTCAGGAATCTTCTCAGGCTGGTCTGGCTGCTAACAGAAGAGAGAGAATGGTACGAACATCATGGCTCCGGGAGCCCGGGCCCTTAAAAATGGGCAAAGATGGCCTAGGGAATTAGCTCAGTGGCATAAGTGCCTGCCTTGCAAGTGTGCAGCCATGAGTTCGATCCCCAGTACCAAAAAAAAAAAAAAAAAGGCAAAGAAAGCCCACAAGAAAACAAATTTTAAAAGCCTCGGGAAATGTCATTTGTTAAAATCATCTTTAAGTATTTTTTCTTTGTAACCTCTTGGCTCTGCACACAGGAACATTTCTTGCCTGTGAAGATGAACACCAGATGGGGACAGGCCAGGCGGGAGGCTCTGGTCGGTGTGAGCGCTGGGCCATTGCCCTGTGGCCCTTGTCCTGCTCGGAAAGAACGTCAGGCCTGGGAAGGACAGCTGGGCCTGGCCCTGAGGGCAGGAATGTAGTCAGAGGCCTTCTTTTCAAGCCAGGGAGTGAAGTTGCTGGACCTCTCCATTGCATCAGCTTTGAAGGCACTGAGCTCTAATTTTCCTCAGAACTGATGCTGTTATTTGTCGGCTGGTTTTCTGTCGAAAAAGAAAAAGAAAGGAAAAAGTTCCACTGAATTAAAGAAAGCAGTGGCTATTTTTCCCTGTGTACAGCGGATATTTTCAACACATCTGGGCAAGATCTTAAACTTACCAACCGCTTAATCCAAGAGTCTCAGGCTTCCCAGGGAGGCTTTATTGCATTGCCTCCAAGTTTTATCGCTTTACTTCCAATTTGTATCCTTAGGGACAGAACAAAAATGATTCTGTGAATCACAGGAAATTGTTCAAGCTGGGTACAATTTGATATTATCTGAGGAACCTCAGAGCCACAAAGAAACTGAGCACTTCTTCATAGATTCTAAACTAGGATCCAAAATGGCAAGCGGATATTTTTTTTCCTAATTCAATAAAATGACAAAACAAGTTAAGTTATTAAAGATCTGACACCCAACCAGGATTCTAAACAACTGGGCAAACTGAATTACTCTTTCTAAATAATATAGAAGAGGAATGAAAGCATGCAAGTTACGATGTCTAAGAATAAATGAAGAGAATACTGTCTTTTCTCATGCTACATGAAGTGATTGTCTTTAAGCTCCTGCAGGCATCTTTGACTTTAGTGCTTTTGTTACTGTTGTAAATTTTCCAGTTCTCTAAAATATTCTCAAATAATCTAATATGTAATTTAAATATTTGTAACTTAATTGAATATTGTAAGTAGATATTACATCTCCATCCTATTAATACAGAAGGAGAAACGGGTCTTGCATTTCTCCTTTAAACAATTAAAAAATTGGACAAAAGTATTTAAAAATTGTTTCTCAAATATCAGAAAATAGGTGTCCCTATACTGTGGTCCCTGAGAGTTTTCCTACTGCTCAAACACACTCACTGGAAGCAGTTTGCAGGCTGCAGTGCGGGAAAGAGACCCAAATGAGCCCAGTGGTCTTGGTGTACTGACTGGTCTGCAGTCCAGGCGGCTGGCATTTAAAGGACAATTTATGAGGCAGGAAGGAGCTGGTGGGGATGGGGAATCTTGATAATAGAAAAACAGAAACTACACAAAATGAATCAGTAAGTATTGTACATAAGTCTGTAGCTGGTTGAATTTGTGGGTGCACAAATAGATATGGAAGGCCATAGTATGTCTAACTCAGATCTCTTTTAATTATTATTTGCATATACCATCTTTTCCCATAGTTTACACCTTTTTTCTTTCTTTTTTTAAAAAAAAATACGGAATGCTTAGCGAATTTGCGTGTGGTGCTTCCACGGGGGCCATGCTAGTCTCTGTATCATTCCAGTTTTAGTATTTGTGCTGCCAAAGCGAGCGCCACAGTTTACACTCTTTAAAGCATGAGAGCTTTAGTTTGGCTCGTGCCCACACTTCACATTCAGCCTATTTTTATCAGTAGGTCTGTATTAGGACTCTTGTAGCTTATATATATATATATATATATATATATATATATATATATATATATTTTTTTTTTTTTTTTTTTTTAAAGAATCCATTCTGGCAATTCTCATCTTCTGATTGGAGAATATAATGCATTTACATTTACAGTAACCACTCAGAAGGAGGCTGCCACTTCTGACATCTGTGTATCAGCTTTCTATGTGCCTGATGACTACTGGACCTCTTATTTTACGCATTACTGTTTTAAGTTTGGTTGATTTTTTTCTAGAAAAGTGTTTTAACTCCCTCCTTATTTTATCTGTGTATGTTCTATAGCTGTTTTCTTTTTGGCCTATCATGGGAATTATTTAACATCCTGAAGTTATAACAATTGAATTCAATGTATACCAATATAATTTCAATAGTATAGAAGACTCTGCTCTTGTATGATTTCCTTCCCCTTTTCCATTATTGATATCAGATTATAACTTTTTTTAATTGGTACGTTTGCAGTTCATCTAGTTTATAAGCATTCTGGGGAGTGGTCACCTGTATATTCCATGGCTGCTTTCTTTCTTTTTTTAAAATATCTCCCCTCCAATTCCCTATCCAACTTTTATTCTACTTGATCTCATTAATCCTAGCCCATGTTATGGCATATATGTTTTCATTAACTGAGATTGCTGGGCTCCTGCACATGGTATAGCTTTATTCTATTTATTTCTCCTTCCTTTCCTCCTGGCCCTTCACCTTCAGGGCCTTCGATCACTTTCCCTTTGTAAGAGATCCGCATTCTTGTCTTCTTCTATCCATCCTTTGTTATTCTCTTGTTTGTACTTTGCCACACTCAAATGGCATTTAAACTTCTGTGTCTGGTTTCTTTCACTCAACATTGTATTTTCCAAGGGCATCCATTTTCTTAACAATGTCTTAAATCTGTCATTCTTTAAAGGCACAGTAGGATTCCAATATATATATGTAACACTTTCTTTATCCAGTCATTTGTTGGTGGATACACAGGCTGTTTCTAGGATTTACCTCTTACAGATTGCACTGCAATAAGCATTGGCATGCATGAATTGCTGTAGTATAATGATTTAAGCTCTTGGGGAAGATGCTGAGGGCAGGGATCACCAGGTCATATGGAATTTCTAAGTTAGTTCTTTTGGAAACCTCCATACCGATTCCCATAGTAGTTGTACTGGCTTACATTCCTACCAAAAATGAAGACAAAAGGGTGCCTTTTTCAACACAGCCTTGCTAGCGTTTGATATTGTTTGATTTCTTAATGACTGCCTTTCTTTCTGGAGTAAGTTGCCTATTTCTTGACTGGATGTTTAATTATATGTGGTTTAATGTTGTTGAGTTCTTTGCATATTGTAGATATTAGTCTTCTGTCTGAAGAGTAGCTGGAAAATTCGTTTCCCTGTTCTGTAGGTTGTCTCTTCATTTTACTGATTGACTCCTTTTGCTATATAAAAGCATTTTAGTCTGACATTAATCCCACTTGTTGGTGCTTGCTGTTGTTTCTTATGCAGTTAAGGTTCTGTTTAGAAAATCTTTTTCTATGCCCATATCTTTATTTTAGAAGATACATTAATACATTAAGCAATTAATGTTTCTATCTTTGGTCCATTTGATTTTAATTTAGTAAGTGGTGAGAGATAAGGGTCCAGTTTTAATCTTCTTCAGATAACCAGCTTTTCCAGCACCATTTATTGAATAGGCTGTCTTTCCTCTAACATATGCTTTTGGCCCCTTTGTCAAAGATCAAATAGCTGAATGTGTCTGGTGAAGTTTCTGTGTTCTCAGTTCTGTTCCCCTGACTCACATACCTGTTTTTGTTCCTGTACCGTCCCCTTCTTATCACCATTGCTTTGTAGTATAGTTAGAAGTCTGTGCTATACCTCCTGCTTTGCTCTTGTTGCCCAAATTGCTTTTTTGTTCCGGGTCTCTTCCTGTTCCATGTAAATGTTAGGAAGATTTTCTCTAGATCTGTAAAGTATGATGCTGTTAGTTTGACTGGGACTGTAAGCAATCTGTATAACAGTATTGGCAGTGTGGCCTTTTTGATAATACTGGTTCTGCCTATCGAGGAACAGGTGACATCTCTCCACATCTGATGGACTCTTCAGTTTCTTTTTTCAGAGTATTGTAGTTCTCTTTGTAGAGGTCTTTCACTTCCTTGGTTAGGTCAATTCCTAGGTATTTCCTTTTTCTTGATACTACCATGAATGGTATTATTTTCATAATTTCCTTCTCATTCTGTTCATAGTCGTACACAAATGCTAATGATTTTTATATATTGATCTTGTATCTAACTATATTGATGAAGTTCATTATTAATTCTGAGTTTTTTGATAGACATCTTTGAATGTTCTATCTAGAATATCATGTCATCTGCAAATAATAATTTAAAGTTTTCTTTTTCTGTTTGTTTGCCTTTTATTTATCTTGCCTAATGGCTCTGACTAATGTTCCAAGTAGTATGTTGAATAGAAGTGGTGATAGTGAACACCCTTGTCTTGTTCCTGATTTTAGGGGAAAAGCTTTTAGTTTTTCCCCATTTTGTATGTAGCTATTGGTTTATCATAGCTTTTATCATATTCAGATGTGATCTTTTCTACCTGCTTTCTTCAGGGTTTTCACCATGAAATGCCATTGGACTTTGTCAAAAGCCTTTATTGTTGATATGATGATATGATTTTGAACCTTGCTTCTGTTTATTTGGTGTATTACTTTTATTGACTTACATATATTGAACCATCCTGGCATCTCTGAGATAAAACCTATTTGATCATGATATATGATCTTTTTGACAGTGTACAGCACTCTATTCGCCAATAGCTTGTTGAGATTTTTGAATCTATGTTCATTATGGAGATTGCCCTGTACTTTTCTTTTTTAGCTGGGTCTTTATTCAGTTTTGGGATCAAGTTGACATTGGCTTCCATAAATGAGTTTGGAAGCACTCCATCCCTTTCAATTTCTTTAAACAGCCTGAGGAGCACTGTTGACATAATATTCTTAAGGTTTTGTAGAATTCAGCAGTGACTTAATCAGGAGCCAAACTTTTTTTTTACTAAGACAAGGTCTCACTGTGTAGTCTCGACTGGCCTTGAACTCAGTATGTATTCCAGGCTGTCCTCAAACTTATGGCTATCCTCCTGCTTCCGCCTCCTGAGTACTAAGATTATAGGCATGCGCCACCAAGCCCAGCTAGGACCTGGACTTTTTAAAGGTGGTAGATTCTTTATTACTGTGTCAGTTCCACTGCTTGTTGTTGGGCTGTTAAGCATATTTATGTTTGGGGGGGTTAGTTTTGGTGGTTTGTATGTGTGTAGGAATCTGTTCATTTCTTCAAAATTTGCTAATTTGTTGAAATATAATTTTTCAAAGCAGGGATAACTGGGTTTCCACAGTGTCTTTTGTGATTCCACCTTTTTAAATTTATTTCTAATTGCATTGATGTGACTCTTTTTCACTTTCTCTGGGTAAGTCTGGCTAGGGGCTTATGTATTTTATGTATTCTTTCAATAAATAAGCTCTCTGATTTGTTGGTTTTTTAAATAGCTTTTCTAGTTTCAATTTCATTTATCTGCCTCAGTTTCCCTCCTTAATTTGATTTGGGTCTAGTTTGTTGTTGTTTGTCAAGTATATTAAGCTTTCTCATAAGCTCACTGTTTTCTTAATGTGAACATTGATTGAAAAGACTTTTCCCCTTAGAACTGCCTTCATACTTTTCCAGAGCATTCAGTGATTTATATCGTCACTGACTTTCAGAAATTTTAAATTTATTCTGTGTCCCATTGGTTGTCTAGGAATTTATTGTTAATTTACTGAAAGTTATTTTGTCTTTTCTGGAATTTCTTCTGTTGTTGATTTCTATTTTCCTTGCATACTGGTCGGACAATATTCATGGTGTGATTTCTATTCTTTTATATTTACTTAAGTAGGCTTTGTGGGCTAGTGTGGGATCTGTTTCAGAAAAAGTACCATGTGCTGCTGAAAAGTGTTTTATTTCGGGTATTTCTGTGTGATATCATTTTGAGGACTTCATGTCCTTGTTGATTCTGTCAGTCAATTGTAGTTATCATCTCCAGTTTGGTTATTTTATTTTATTTTATTTTATTTATTTACTTTTTTACCTATTTTCCAGAATTCACCATTGGCATGGGGAGTGAAACTGCTGTGACTGTTTGGCTCCTCTTTGAACTCATCTCTTTCTTTATCCCTTCTAGGAGTGTTTCATGGGTCTCTGCTACCTCGTATTTGTTTTCTTCTCCCTTTGTGAACCCTTGCTCTGCCTTGGGAGAGTGCAGTGGGGGGTGTCAGAGATCTATTTCTTTATTCCTCCATTCTCCTATGTGTATCTGCATATATATATATACCTTTTTAAAAGTAGAAATTGCCCTTTCTTTTCCCTTCCTTTGGGGGGGGCAGGGGACATTATTGCAAGTCAGAGACTAGAGGAGTGAGGGGAGTTTGTGACTTACTGGAAATTTTTTGTAGGATTTGCCTCTTCATGAGTAATATTCAGCTTCATATTGCCAATGCTAGTATTTACTCCTTCTGTTATTTAAGTGACTTCAGCTCTGTCTCTATGTTTTGCCAAAAAATTCCTTCTGGTTATAACAGCACCCAGCGATTCAATCTAACAGCACTTCTATATGACAGTTCTTACAATGACGATTCTGCCTTTTGTGTAGTCCCTGTGCACACCAGTTTACTGTCTGTGGTTGTTCTGTACTGACACAGGTGAGGTGGGCTGGGGAGAATAGCGGTAGATGAGAAGAAAAGGTTGATGTATGTGAGATCTGATTTTATTGGAGTACTTTTAGTTTACTTGAAGGATTAGTATTGAAAGTTTTCAGAAGATATTTTATGGGGGCAAGGGTGAGATATGTGAGAAAGGGGACTTACTCTGTGATTGAGGGAATCTATCGTTATTGGAACTTCCTGAGAGGGAAGAACATAAGCTAGGTAATATGTGGAAGAGCCAGAGGCTTAGGATGGGGCAAATTGAG